ACAAACCCCCCCCCCCCCAAAACCCTTCTTTCATTTCTCCCTCTCCCCTCTACTCATGTCGGACCTTGTAGTCTGTATCAGGCAAATACAAGTGTCGGTCAGCACCCTCCTTAGTCAACACCACCATGCGAATGACACCGCCTGAGCTTCCATCCCATTTGATCGCCTCCCTCAGAGCACCCTTGACAAAGTTAACAGCCTCCTCCTTCTCCATGCCTTCTTTCCAGTTCGCATCGCAGTAGCCATAGATGTATGTGGAGCCGGAACCACCAATCGCATACGCCTGCTTGTGCAGCGAACCGCCCAAAGGAATCGAGTACACCTGGCCACCGAATCGCTCGTCCCAACCGGCGATGATCAGACCAGCCCTGTTCAGAAAATGGTTAACAAGTTCCAAGAATCCCAGTGACCATCTGACTTCGTGGCGACCTACGATAAACGGTCCTTGTTTGCGTAGCAAATCTCCTGGAAGATTGACGCAGCGGTTTGTGTCATGGGAGGCTTGCCGCTGTGCATGGCAAACAAACCCAGCTGGTACTGTACAATATCGGCGACAGCCTGCGTGTCGGCCGCTGAGCCAGATCGGCAGCACCAGATGGTGTCGTGTACTCTGGTCAGTTTATCGGTGACTCGGTTTGCAATGTAGGCTCCCGTCGTGGTTCGAGAATCGGCGCCTGCAAGAGTCAGTCCATGCGTTCGCCAGTAGATTGAGGAGTCATTTAGATATACCTAGGATAACACCATCTTTAAATGTGACGGCCATGCTACGACACGTTAGATTGCTCCACCATGGGAATCGGATGCGTATTCGTACATTGACGTTCCCAAGCTGAAGTGGCGTTAGATAAGACTCTGGAATAAAGCTGTAGTATTTAACGAGAGACACTCACTTCACTTCTCCCTTCTTGAGACGGTCCATGTCGACGTGGATGCCATCTACCTCATCGTATCAGCATCATGGTGTTGTTCCTTGGCAGGGTTGCTACGCTGTGCAGCTCCGTCTGGACGGCTCACCTTCATTCAATACACCTTTGTGGCCAAACTCCATGGTTCGCGATTCTTTCAATGCAAGTTTGATTTTGTTTTCGGTTCGTAATGGCTCTGGTGAGGGATTGAAGAAGACAGGTTTCGGCGTAGCGTCGTCAACGATTGATCATTGCAGGGCTGGAGCTAAGACGTAGCTCAGGCAGCTCTGGGAACGCGCAGCCGTGACGGCCAGCGACTATGCGCACATGACATATCACGTGACTACAGTTAATCGTCAAACGGTCCATGTTTCTTGGTACCCTCGCCAGCACATGCAGCAACTTCAGTACTAAATAAACAATACGTTGAGAATGCAATCTATATTCTTCGCTTCAAGGCCTGGTCCTGGCAAACCTTGGCGTTCGTATCAACATGCAGAGCAGACCTAATAGCTAACCATGAAAACAATCGCTGATACGCTATAGTATTCCAAAAGACAGCAGCGCCAGATAACAATATCCCAATAAACCCATGCTCCGAATTCTATAATCCCTCAATAGCCTTGCTCCACTGCTTGTTCAATCCTCCCAGCCCCGGAATGGTGGCATCGCCACCTTCGTCCCTGGTCACTTTCTTCTTGTCCTCCTCCTCGCCCTTGTCTGCCTCTTTCTTATCATCGCCGCAGCCGCAGTCGTAAAAGTCTCCAATTTTGGTACAATCGAATGCCGGTTTCTCGAGCCTCTTATTTACCATGTTATGCAGCGCACACAACCAGCCTGCAGCGGCGTTACGACTGCTAGTCTGTGGTGGGTACTTCTTCAGCATCCCGCGAAAGTGACGAGCGCAGTCGCCGCAGGGGTACAGTCGACCGAAGAGATGGAAGAAGGACTCGAGGGTTTTGCGGTCGCTGTCGGTAGGCTTATCTGGGAACCGGGCAACCATAGTGTGGAGGAACTTCCAAGTTGCGCGGCCGAGTTCCGCTCTGGACGGGCTGTTAGGTTTGGCAAACAAAAGGAAAGGGGTGCAGTGTGTAACGGGGAGACGGACTTTAGTGTCGCATTTTCCAATTTGGGTGCTATGGAGTCTCCTTCTGAGAGATCCGGAACGGCTTCTAGGTCGATTTCGAAGCCGGGCTTCGAGGCGGGAGTTGGCTTTTTACCGTCGGCCGTGAGAGGAACTTCGCTGTTGCGGCCGGACTTGAGCAGCCCTGCAGGGCTGAGTGCCGAGCTGCCGGAGAAGACGTAAGTTATGCTGAGCAAGACGACGACGGCTAGCAGGATCGTGAGGGTGAGATGTTGTCTACGCGCCATGGTTGGCAGGGAAAATTTGCTGAGGACCTGCTTCAGTGTTGTGCTTGTGCAGTCTTGGGATGTCGCATGATGGCGGCTGCGGGCGAGGGAGATTGATTAGAGCATGTGGGCGCCAAATGCCAATTGACAGCGTGGCGCCAGCGTTCAAGCACCGTTGACACCAGACCCGTCTAGGGGTTCTGCTACTGAGCGCTCAACCGCTCGCAGCCGTTGAGTTTTACCGCCTTCGCCCCTGCCAAACTTGCGCGCTGCCGCTGGCCATTGGGCCAGAGAACAACTAATCAATTAATACTGGGGCCAGCATTGAATACATCATTGAAATCATGCCACAGTCACGCGGCGTAAGATTGAGAACTGCTCACCACAGCCCCGTACAAAGTGCAGCAAGTGCAGCACTTACGATTACATGATTCTTTTTTTATCCCCTTCCAGCTTGCCGTTCGCTTAAGCCAATGCCATTGCCATTGTGTGCATAGAATGGGAAGATTGCGGATTTGGGACACGTTTCGAGTACATTCGCAGCCCCTACCCTACACCCGCATACTTTGAGTTCACCATATTGGTTCACCCAAGGATTCTTTTCAAGGAGTCTACTAGTACACCTCAGCCATCCATTCATTTGCATGGGCAGGTATTACCATCATTTCTTTCTCATAAATTTGCAGTGGCTCAGAATAAGGATGGCTCCGTTTGTTGTCTGGGCCATGGCGAGTCTGCGACGGTGACCTGTTAATCTGCAGATGGCCAAAGCAGCATGAAATACTAAATCATCAATGTCCACCCGAAGACACGCCCAAAATATCAATGCGTATCCAAATTACCGAGCCCAGGGGAACCAGGGTTCATACTGACCCAGAGCTAGACGAGGTCGCGTCTCTCTCAAAGTCCAAAAACGGGACTACCCTAGAGCCAGTTTTTGCTTTGTTCTCACCATCGTCATCGGGCGTCGCTTAACTTTACGTTGCGTAGCGACACTTTGATATCTAGGTCGGTCGAATCCTCTAATACCAACGCCCAACGCCGCTGTTGCATAGCCAGGTTGGCCTTCACCAGGAGCTTTACGAGGAGTTCTCTAGGACTCAATGCGAAGTTGAGACGACAGTGTCGTCGAGTAACCTGATACAGCCCCCTCCCCTGGCTGGACAGTCTCGGGACCGGCTTTGGTTGAAGCGGCAGGGACAAAGACCAGACGAAGAACGGGGTAATAATGCACAGTCCACTAAACGGGGAGGACCGAAACAAACCGCATTGGGGGTCGCATCACTGAATTTACGAACTGCATTTCCTTCTCCCCCTAGAAACCATTGTTTGGTAATCGCGACCCCATGTTGAATCAGAGGCGCTGCAACCAAGACGTGCGGGGAATCATTGGCGAGTTTTGGGGGACCGAGGGTTCAAAGGTTGCGGTTTGGTCTTGTTTAGAGCAGAGCTACTAAAATGTGAGACAAAGAAGGCCGTTGCGCACTCTTCGTTTCCCTAGCTTATTCGTGGCTCTTTTTGGCGGCACTGTGTGCGAGGAATGTGCATCATCTATGAAGAGATGGAGATAGTTATTCACTTTCCCTACTCCGTACTAATAGGGAAATGGGAGTTCTCCCAAGCTCCCGTCCCGATACGCCGTACTCCCTTGGAGGAATCATATCATCATATAATCCGGGCCTGAACCAAAGCGGGTAAGCAGCTTGTCCTGCAGACTTCCCAATCGAAAACCATCCAAGATCGTAGATTTTTCGTCTGACAACAATATGCAAGCCAAGAGATCAGGACTACACAGACTACACACCGTATTCCAATAATACCACATTCCTCCGGACATGTTGAATCTCATTGGTTCGGGACCGGAAAAGAATAAAACAAACAGCAGCTGCCATAACGGTGTGGCGGATTGACATGGGTGAGGAGTGGTGGGTGGTGTGTCTTGGACTCCGACCTGAAGCAGCGGAGCCACCTTTCCTCAAGTCCAGCGCATCGACGGAGCAAGCTCATCAAAAGGGGCAGCAATTAATTAAAGTCACCCACAAAGAGAAAGCTCCCAGACGAGCCCAAGCGTGCTGTCAAACGTCGAAGCACAGTAGTGGAGGTGATATTCTTGGCAACACTGAGCAGACACGAAAGAGGTTGCTGGCCTTTGGGGCTAGAGGAACCCAAAGACTGGATTCCATTCATGGAGTCATGTCCGTCGGTGCCAACGGTGCGGTGGGTGTCTAGTGATTTCGAGATTGATCGATTCATGCCTTTCTGGGTTGAAGCTTAATCGCATCTAGTCCACCAGAACCAGTGATGAACGGAGGTTACAATATTTACCAGCAGCGTTGAGGAATTGATAGACTATCTCCTTCACCGCAAAACACCAATATACGAAAACGGTCATGGCCTGAGCGGTAATTACTGCAAAGATACACGAGTGAGACATGCGAGCTGCTGGCCGGATCTGTGGATTGCGACGTTGTGATGAATAAACAGCCAGTTGACTCAGCCAATTTTGTTTGTGTGCTCTTCCACCGCCGCATGAGGAAACTTGTAGGCTTCCCTGGTATCGCCCAACCATGAGGGGATATTAGCGGAAGGTCATCCTTTGTACCACAGCCTACTCCGGCTATTATTGTTCGTTGTACGGAGGAATGCATCGGTTATCCGGGATGTGTTCGTTGTGTCGTGTCGCGAGCTACGAGTGCTTTCTTTGTTGCCGGGACTAGCGAATCCCAAGTACATTACGGAGTATAGCTCTGGAAAATAAGATGATGACAATAGCCGTCCTCTTTCATATACGATATTTAGACCAATAGAGCGTTTGAGTGGTTACCGAGTACGTTACGCCATACTTTTGAGTAATTTATTGCCATCTACCTGTGCACCTGCATCTGTCACTCACCTTTTCGGGAATCTACTACAGTCCAGCTGTGGCTGTTGGGTGAGACAAGTCACTTCCCTGGTAACCCGTACTCAATACTAGTACTACTACTACTACTACTCCGTAGTGTAGAGTAGAGCGCTATTTCCGTCTGACGCATTGGACAGGTGGAGGATGCTTCGTTTGCGCTACTATTATGTACTATTTACTAGTGTGTCTGTACTTCGCAGAGAGCTTCTTTTCTTCAGAAAGCCGTTGATGTGCAGCCTCAATCGCGAGCAGATTGGCCGGTTATGTCCCGCAGCTAGAACAAACAGCTCATCATGAATCAGGTTGCTTACTTGCCTTGTCTGTGTTGTCACTCGCAACAAACACAGCAAAAGGAATCACTGTTCGAATGTGTGTTAACCAGATCCTTGCTGCAGTGTGGCAGCTATGGTGGGAATCAGCCAATCGCGGATCCCGAGTCCCTGGTCGAGTGCTCCATCGTGGCGCCCAGGTCTACCTAGCTTCAGGAACAAGGAGATGAACTCCATTTCGGGCGGGGAACAGAACTTGTTTCTCATTCTCGGGATACATTGGTTGGCAGGGGACCACTATGAGCGGACGGGGTTGAGATCTAATGTCGTCAAGCTCGTCGTCAGGACAGGCATGTGTCGCACCAAGGAAGAAGCCTCGGAACTCTCGACATGGCTGAACAGCCCAGCAGTCCCGGCAGTAAGGACCTGGCACCAGCTGAGAAAGCACGGAGTATTGCAAGGAGTACCTACCTAGAGGCAGTTAGAATAAGCTCGTCGTGATGCATCTTGCCAGACTTACTGACAAAGAACTAGTACTCCATAAATCACAAAGATTAGCCAAGGCAAGGTTGCTGGGCGTCATTGAACCCCCTCCCCACTACGTAGTAGAGGATCGACCATTGAAGACAGGGTGCTTGTCAGTTTGGTGGGAGTGAGAGAACGATGGGTTGCTCACTCTTGTTGATGCGCAAGCCTGGCACATGTCTTTAAAAAATAAAGAAGTCCTTTCCCAAGGGAGGTAGATAGCTCTGAACCTAGGAAAATTAGCAGGGAAGGAGCAGGTTGGCGCAACCAACAGACAAAAGAACATGGGCTAGTGACATTCTTCCTCTCCCACCCAATGTTTTCACAACGCACGGCTCACTTTATGCGACAACCCTACCTCTGCGCACGTACATATGTACGGCTCAGGCTTCTTTTTTCCCTCTTTTTTCTTTTGTTTCCCTCGACTGGTTTGGCTGCAAGGTTGTGGGAGTTGGGACGAGTGTGCCAAACGCAACAGCCAGACCCAGAATTCCAAATCGCCGGGTGTAGGTCGAAACAAGCCCCTTGACTGGCTCGGTTACCTGCAAAGGTGAGATGATCAACACCTACGGGGTTAGTACTCTGATGGATTGCGAGTGCCGTCCTGAGCACATGGCATTCCTCGGCGGCACCCCCAAGATTTGAGTGCCGTGTTGTTGTTTGCTCCGTACTACGGAAAAAACTTGTCTTGAACATTCCTGGTCTCATGGACAAACATGTTTTATCAAGTCGTTTGTGGCCAAGGATGCAAGCCAGCCACCACGTGACCTGACGACGTAGAAAAGCCTCAAATTCCAGCGCCATACTCCGTAAAGCAATTGAACAAGCTTACATGGCCTTTGCGACGCATCGTCCAATATATTACTCAATGCGCCATACAGAGTACTCTGCATTTGGCCTGCAGGGATGGACTCAGCTCGGTGGGAAAACAATTACTAGCATGACCGGTCCAATTAGGCGAGACTGCAGTATGGAGTAAGCACCTGCCTGTCTGGCAATGGGCGGGTGATACGGCTACTGAGCTTTGGCCTACTTAAGTAGTTAGCTGGTACTCCATACACTCGGACAGACACATCATCCATGGAGTACTCAATCGGGGCCTGGAGACCGCACCGATGGTGAGACACACAGTCGACGACGGAGGACGCGGTAATTATTGTTGTGGACGGACTTACGGTGGGTGGCCCATGGCGCTGACGCCTTCGTTGCCTTTGATGGTGGTTGCGGTCACGGTCACGGTCACGGTCACGGTCACGCTCGCGATCGTCAATCGAACGTCGCGTTCCGCGGCACTGATAACTAGATGAGAGGTGCTGATCTCTCTCGACTCGAGGACACAGAATCCTATCGTTCCGAGGGCTAATGCTCGAGTGGCCGGAGACTGTAGAGAGTCTCTGGAGTTGGAGTCTGGTAAGCCGTGACACGCGAGCTAGGCCGACGGTGCGGTCAGTGTTGGGCCCCACTGATGCCAACATGTTGCTCTCCTATAGGCTAGAGAGCTGGAAAAGGATGTGGGCCTCTCTGGCAGCTTCCCACACGACCCCTGCATATCGTGAATGGCCACGCGGGTACGGAGTTAGGGGTAGGGGATTCCTTCACTTTCACCGAAGCAAAATTTTGCGGGCCAACTCCATGTCGCACAATGGGCTGCGGGCTTGCTGACTCACCAGTTGACTTCAAATGTTCTCAGTGTGTGAATGTGGCGCTAGCCCCGCCAGCCCACAGCGGTTCAGGTACGCGCAGCCACTCCCTCGCCTGCTCAGGTCCGGTCCCTCTGAAATTGGTGGCCCCAGATCCATTGACGTTCAGATGCTCCCTCATCAATCTCGAGAATCAATCATCAATGCTCTGCCACGCCAAGTGCTCAATGCTCAGGTCGAACTGATCCGGCGTGTTGCTAGTGGTCAAGTGCGCCCCCCTGCCGCCCAAGCACCGTCTGTGTTGCTATGCTAAGCAAGAGACTGGCCGTTCAACCGTCCAAACATTGAACGGTGGCCGTTTACGTTTGGCTGCTGGCAGCTGCCTTGCCTTGCCCTCCCTTGCCTTGCCTTGCCCTCCCTTGCCTTGCCTTCCTGGCTGGCCTTATCGGTCCTCGCTGTGGTTCGTCGTCCCAGTTCCCAAGTCCCAAGTCTCAATTCCACCTTGACATGTCCACAATTCCACAGCGCCCACCCCCCTGGCCGCCTCTTCCCGTCCGCCCCGGTTCCCATTCCTTCCATTGAATGTTGCCCATTGCTTGCTTCACCTCCTACCCACTCTCTTCTGCCCTCCTTTCCCTCCTTCTTTATCACCTCACTCCTCGCCCTCCCAACCCTCACTCGCGCCCCCAGGCGACGTCGTCTTCGTCCCCTTGCGATCTCCGACAACCTTGCGCTCCCGCCGCGCGTTCAATCCTTTTACCTCCTCTCTCCACGAGAATCCGTTCGTCTCTGGGACGGCAAAGGGCGACAAATGCACGTTGAGGACTGATCGTCGTCTTCAACACCACCCAAGGCCCTTGCCCTCACGCCGAACGCCGTCACGGACACATTTAACGATCTCGCTTATTTTGAATGTTTGAACGAATTTAATATCGTCTTGTCGCTCATTTCCCCGCTACTGTCCATGGTTATTGCTTCATCGCCAAATTTATATACATATCCCTACAACCGAAAATAAACGTAAGTGGGCCATGCACAACGTAATTTTGATGCAAATTAGCTTCATGTCATGGCTGCTTTGGCTTGGCCTGCTGTACGACGTGCCCTCATTGATGGCCACCGCCAGCCATGTCAACACGCCTGAGCCGAAACAAGACATGACCTACTGTTAATTATCTGACGAGAGCTGACGACAATCTTAGATTACACTCGTTGACACCATTGTCAAGTACATTCGTTCTATCCGTTCCTGACAGTAAGCGTTTTGTGTAACAGACTCTACCAAATCTCCTAACGGAACTCGTCACTCACATTCGGGTCAGCACTTCTGCTCCACGTAAATAATTTGTCCCAACACGGTTGATCGAAGCAACCATCGATTAAAGCCGCTACGTTGCAATCATGTACGCCAAATCTCTAGCCTTGGCCTCGGCCGTTGCTATGGCTGCCTCTGTCATCGCTGCCCAGCCAGAACATCCACGCATCTACTTTCCAAGGGAGATTAAGCGAGAGTATCACAACTCCACCATCACGAGTAAGGCTTCGTCATCCACGCCTTATGTCACGACGACTACGACAACGTCTTCGTCTTCGACTAGGCGGGATTTGTTGAGCGACCTTGTCTCCGAGATTCTTGGTTCAGATCAACCACAAAAGTCGAGCACGACAGAGAAACCCCCTGGCACCACAGTCACTGTTGACAGCACCGTTACCCCAGGCGGCCCGTCATCCGGATCCGGTTTGCCCAAGGAGACCATCTTGCCTACTTCAAAGATTAATGAGTCTAAAACAAGTTCGAGCACGCGTGCAAGATCCTCGACCGAGCCTGGTATTGTCATCGGTCCCACGGGGATTGTGTCGTCCACGAGCGAGCCTAAGACGACTGTTGAGCCTCCGAAGACGACATCTGTCGAAGCCCCTGTTAGCAACAACACCGTACCGGAAACCAACCCTTCTACACCCGCTACTGTGAAGGAGCCTATTCCAACGGGCGAGCCACCTAAGACAACCTCTGTCGACCCACCTGTCACCAACAACACCGTACCGGAAACCAACCCTTCTACACCCGCTACTGTGAAGGAGCCTATTCCAACGGGCGAGCCACCTAAGACAACTGTCGACCCACCTGTCACCAACAACACTGTACCGGAAACCAAGCCTACCACGCCTACTACCGTGGACGTGCCCACAAAGACGGGCGAGCCTGCCACCAAGTCTACTTCTGTTGATACGCCTATTGGGAACAACACCGTGTCGGACACGACCCCGACGACCACAAGCGGTGGCATATTGGATCCTGTCGGTACACTGCTTAGCAGCCTTTTGCCTGGCTCAAGCACGAGCGCGAGCACGAACACGAACTCATCTGAGCCAACTGGCACTTCAAAGTCGAGCACAAGCACGAGCTCTCCTGAGCAGCCTATCCCGCAGAACTCTACAACGCAAGCTGCCCCGACCACAGAGCCCTCCACAGGCCTTCTGCCTTCTTTGACCTCCTTGCTTCCTCTTCCAAGTTCAACGACGACTACCTCAGGCTCTGGATCGCTCCCCAACGCGACTTCGACTGAGGTCCCTGTAACCGCCAGCACGTCATCGTCCGGTTCCATTATCACGAACCTTCCAACTGCAACCACAACGGACGTTCCCATCGGCAACAGCACTTCGACCAGCGCCGGAACTGTCTCTAATGCTCCCACTGCGACTGATGTTCCTATTACCAATGCAACCACTTCTGAGCTCCCTACAGGCACCGCTACGTCACTGCCGATAACGCCAACTTCGGTACCGAATGGCAACTCAACCGTGGTTGTGGGCCCGACGACGACTTCCAATATCGGTACAGTTGTTCCTACAACAAAGTCTGATTCCACAACTACTGTCGTACCATCGACGACCAGCGAAGTGGAGGTAACAAGCATTCGACCTACTGCCACATTTCCAAGCACAGACAACTGGCTTCCGACCACTGTTATTATCGAACCCACGACTTTCTCGTTCTCAACGCCTACATCGAACCCGACTGAAACCTCATTGCAGCCTCTGCCCACCACGGTACCCAAAGTCATTAAGCCAGATACTGATGGTGGTAAAGACGTGCCTGCACCCGAGGGGAGCGTTCCTATTCATATTGGCTTCAAGTTCGCTCTCCACTACCTCTTTGTTGCTAATGATCCCAATGCCGCCTCTCAGATCTTCAGGTACTTGCCACAGGTTCTCTCTAATGCTAGCGGGATTCCCCCTGAACAGCTGCCTGTCACGGAGCTGGTTCCTTACAACACTCTGGCCACGAGAGGCTGGGTCATGACCATTGCCAAGCTGAACTACCCAAAGACTCTGCTTCCAGCTCTAGAAGTCAACTTGAAAACACCCTCCTCACTAATCTACCAAAATCGCGAACCAGTTCTAGCTCAATTTGCAAGCTACATCGATTCCACAATTTCTCCCACTGGTGACCTCAATGATGGTTCCTCAACTGGTAATGGGGGATCTGGCTCAGCTGTGGCTGTTGGGTGAGACAAGTCACTTCCCTGGTAACCCGTACTCAATACTAGTACTACTACTACTACTACTCCGTAGTGTAGAGTAGAGCGCTATTTCCGTCTGACGCATTGGACAGGTGGAGGATGCTTCGTTTGCGCTACTATTATGTACTATTTACTAGTGTGTCTGTACTTCGCAGAGAGCTTCTTTTCTTCAGAAAGCCGTTGATGTGCAGCCTCAATCGCGAGCAGATTGGCCGGTTATGTCCCGCAGCTAGAACAAACAGCTCATCATGAATCAGGTTGCTTACTTGCCTTGTCTGTGTTGTCACTCGCAACAAACACAGCAAAAGGAATCACTGTTCGAATGTGTGTTAACCAGATCCTTGCTGCAGTGTGGCAGCTATGGTGGGAATCAGCCAATCGCGGATCCCGAGTCCCTGGTCGAGTGCTCCATCGTGGCGCCCAGGTCTACCTAGCTTCAGGAACAAGGAGATGAACTCCATTTCGGGCGGGGAACAGAACTTGTTTCTCATTCTCGGGATACATTGGTTGGCAGGGGACCACTATGAGCGGACGGGGTTGAGATCTAATGTCGTCAAGCTCGTCGTCAGGACAGGCATGTGTCGCACCAAGGAAGAAGCCTCGGAACTCTCGACATGGCTGAACAGCCCAGCAGTCCCGGCAGTAAGGACCTGGCACCAGCTGAGAAAGCACGGAGTATTGCAAGGAGTACCTACCTAGAGGCAGTTAGAATAAGCTCGTCGTGATGCATCTTGCCAGACTTACTGACAAAGAACTAGTACTCCATAAATCACAAAGATTAGCCAAGGCAAGGTTGCTGGGCGTCATTGAACCCCCTCCCCACTACGTAGTAGAGGATCGACCATTGAAGACAGGGTGCTTGTCAGTTTGGTGGGAGTGAGAGAACGATGGGTTGCTCACTCTTGTTGATGCGCAAGCCTGGCACATGTCTTTAAAAAATAAAGAAGTCCTTTCCCAAGGGAGGTAGATAGCTCTGAACCTAGGAAAATTAGCAGGGAAGGAGCAGGTTGGCGCAACCAACAGACAAAAGAACATGGGCTAGTGACATTCTTCCTCTCCCACCCAATGTTTTCACAACGCACGGCTCACTTTATGCGACAACCCTACCTCTGCGCACGTACATATGTACGGCTCAGGCTTCTTTTTTCCCTCTTTTTTCTTTTGTTTCCCTCGACTGGTTTGGCTGCAAGGTTGTGGGAGTTGGGACGAGTGTGCCAAACGCAACAGCCAGACCCAGAATTCCAAATCGCCGGGTGTAGGTCGAAACAAGCCCCTTGACTGGCTCGGTTACCTGCAAAGGTGAGATGATCAACACCTACGGGGTTAGTACTCTGATGGATTGCGAGTGCCGTCCTGAGCACATGGCATTCCTCGGCGGCACCCCCAAGATTTGAGTGCCGTGTTGTTGTTTGCTCCGTACTACGGAAAAAACTTGTCTTGAACATTCCTGGTCTCATGGACAAACATGTTTTATCAAGTCGTTTGTGGCCAAGGATGCAAGCCAGCCACCACGTGACCTGACGACGTAGAAAAGCCTCAAATTCCAGCGCCATACTCCGTAAAGCAATTGAACAAGCTTACATGGCCTTTGCGACGCATCGTCCAATATATTACTCAATGCGCCATACAGAGTACTCTGCATTTGGCCTGCAGGGATGGACTCAGCTCGGTGGGAAAACAATTACTAGCATGACCGGTCCAATTAGGCGAGACTGCAGTATGGAGTAAGCACCTGCCTGTCTGGCAATGGGCGGGTGATACGGCTACTGAGCTTTGGCCTACTTAAGTAGTTAGCTGGTACTCCATACACTCGGACAGACACATCATCCATGGAGTACTCAATCGGGGCCTGGAGACCGCACCGATGGTGAGACACACAGTCGACGACGGAGGACGCGGTAATTATTGTTGTGGACGGACTTACGGTGGGTGGCCCATGGCGCTGACGCCTTCGTTGCCTTTGATGGTGGTTGCGGTCACGGTCACGGTCACGGTCACGGTCACGCTCGCGATCGTCAATCGAACGTCGCGTTCCGCGGCACTGATAACTAGATGAGAGGTGCTGATCTCTCTCGACTCGAGGACACAGAATCCTATCGTTCCGAGGGCTAATGCTCGAGTGGCCGGAGACTGTAGAGAGTCTCTGGAGTTGGAGTCTGGTAAGCCGTGACACGCGAGCTAGGCCGACGGTGCGGTCAGTGTTGGGCCCCACTGATGCCAACATGTTGCTCTCCTATAGGCTAGAGAGCTGGAAAAGGATGTGGGCCTCTCTGGCAGCTTCCCACACGACCCCTGCATATCGTGAATGGCCACGCGGGTACGGAGTTAGGGGTAGGGGATTCCTTCACTTTCACCGAAGCAAAATTTTGCGGGCCAACTCCATGTCGCACAATGGGCTGCGGGCTTGCTGACTCACCAGTTGACTTCAAATGTTCTCAGTGTGTGAATGTGGCGCTAGCCCCGCCAGCCCACAGCGGTTCAGGTACGCGCAGCCACTCCCTCGCCTGCTCAGGTCCGGTCCCTCTGAAATTGGTGGCCCCAGATCCATTGACGTTCAGATGCTCCCTCATCAATCTCGAGAATCAATCATCAATGCTCTGCCACGCCAAGTGCTCAATGCTCAGGTCGAACTGATCCGGCGTGTTGCTAGTGGTCAAGTGCGCCCCCCTGCCGCCCAAGCACCGTCTGTGTTGCTATGCTAAGCAAGAGACTGGCCGTTCAACCGTCCAAACATTGAACGGTGGCCGTTTACGTTTGGCTGCTGGCAGCTGCCTTGCCTTGCCCTCCCTTGCCTTGCCTTCCTGGCTGGCCTTATCGGTCCTCGCTGTGGTTCGTCGTCCCAGTTCCCAAGTCCCAAGTCTCAATTCCACCTTGACATGTCCACAATTCCACAGCGCCCACCCCCCTGGCCGCCTCTTCCCGTCCGCCCCGGTTCCCATTCCTTCCATTGAATGTTGCCCATTGCTTGCTTCACCTCCTACCCACTCTCTTCTGCCCTCCTTTCCCTCCTTCTTTATCACCTCACTCCTCGCCCTCCCAACCCTCACTCGCGCCCCCAGGCGACGTCGTCTTCGTCCCCTTGCGATCTCCGACAACCTTGCGCTCCCGCCGCGCGTTCAATCCTTTTACCTCCTCTCTCCACGAGAATCCGTTCGTCTCTGGGACGGCAAAGGGCGACAAATGCACGTTGAGGACTGATCGTCGTCTTCAACACCACCCAAGGCCCTTGCCCTCACGCCGAACGCCGTCACGGACACATTTAACGATCTCGCTTATTTTGAATGTTTGAACGAATTTAATATCGTCTTGTCGCTCATTTCCCCGCTACTGTCCATGGTTATTGCTTCATCGCCAAATTTATATACATATCCCTACAACCGAAAATAAACGTAAGTGGGCCATGCACAACGTAATTTTGATGCAAATTAGCTTCATGTCATGGCTGCTTTGGCTTGGCCTGCTGTACGACGTGCCCTCATTGATGGCCACCGCCAGCCATGTCAACACGCCTGAGCCGAAACAAGACATGACCTACTGTTAATTATCTGACGAGAGCTGACGACAATCTTAGATTACACTCGTTGACACCATTGTCAAGTACATTCGTTCTATCCGTTCCTGACAGTAAGCGTTTTGTGTAACAGACTCTACCAAATCTCCTAACGGAACTCGTCACTCACATTCGGGTCAGCACTTCTGCTCCACGTAAATAATTTGTCCCAACACGGTTGATCGAAGCAACCATCGATTAAAGCCGCTACGTTGCAATCATGTACGCCAAATCTCTAGCCTTGGCCTCGGCCGTTGCTATGGCTGCCTCTGTCATCGCTGCCCAGCCAGAACATCCACGCATCTACTTTCCAAGGGAGATTAAGCGAGAGTATCACAACTCCACCATCACGAGTAAGGCTTCGTCATCCACGCCTTATGTCACGACGACTACGACAACGTCTTCGTCTTCGACTAGGCGGGATTTGTTGAGCGACCTTGTCTCCGAGATTCTTGGTTCAGATCAACCACAAAAGTCGAGCACGACAGAGAAACCCCCTGGCACCACAGTCACTGTTGACAGCACCGTTACCCCAGGCGGCCCGTCATCCGGATCCGGTTTGCCCAAGGAGACCATCTTGCCTACTTCAAAGATTAATGAGTCTAAAACAAGTTCGAGCACGCGTGCAAGATCCTCGACCGAGCCTGGTATTGTCATCGGTCCCACGGGGATTGTGTCGTCCACGAGCGAGCCTAAGACGACTGTTGAGCCTCCGAAGACGACATCTGTCGAAGCCCCTGTTAGCAACAACACCGTACCGGAAACCAACCCTTCTACACCCGCTACTGTGAAGGAGCCTATTCCAACGGGCGAGCCACCTAAGACAACCTCTGTCGACCCACCTGTCACCAACAACACCGTACCGGAAACCAACCCTTCTACACCCGCTACTGTGAAGGAGCCTATTCCAACGGGCGAGCCACCTAAGACAACTCTAGACCCACCTGTCACCAACAACACTGTACCGGAAACCAAGCCTACCACGCCTACTACCGTGGACGTGCCCACAAAGACGGGCGAGCCTGCCACCAAGTCTACTTCTGTTGATACGCCTATTGGGAACAACACCGTGTCGGACACGACCCCGACGACCACAAGCGGTGGCATATTGGATCCTGTCGGTACACTGCTTAGCAGCCTTTTGCCTGGCTCAAGCACGAGCGCGAGCACGAACACGAACTCATCTGAGCCAACTGGCACTTCAAAGTCGAGCACAAGCACGAGCTCTCCTGAGCAGCCTATCCCGCAGAACTCTACAACGCAAGCTGCCCCGACCACAGAGCCCTCCACAGGCCTTCTGCCTTCTTTGACCTCCTTGCTTCCTCTTCCAAGTTCAACGACGACTACCTCAGGCTCTGGATCGCTCCCCAACGCGACTTCGACTGAGGTCCCTGTAACCGCCAGCACGTCATCGTCCGGTTCCATTATCACGAACCTTCCAACTGCAACCACAACGGACGTTCCCATCGGCAACAGCACTTCGACCAGCGCCGGAACTGTCTCTAATGCTCCCACTGCGACTGATGTTCCTATTACCAATGCAACCACTTCTGAGCTCCCTACAGGCACCGCTACGTCACTGCCGATAACGCCAACTTCGGTACCGAATGGCAACTCAACCGTGGTTGTGGGCCCGACGACGACTTCCAATATCGGTACAGTTGTTCCTACAACAAAGTCTGATTCCACAACTACTGTCGTACCATCGACGACCAGCGAAGTGGAGGTAACAAGCATTCGACCTACTGCCACATTTCCAAGCACAGACAACTGGCTTCCGACCACTGTTATTATCGAACCCACGACTTTCTCGTTCTCAACGCCTACATCGAACCCGACTGAAACCTCATTGCAGCCTCTGCCCACCACGGTACCCAAAGTCATTAAGCCAGATACTGATGGTGGTAAAGACGTGCCTGCACCCGAGGGGAGCGTTCCTATTCATATTGGCTTCAAGTTCGCTCTCCACTACCTCTTTGTTGCTAATGATCCCAATGCCGCCTCTCAGATCTTCAGGTACTTGCCACAGGTTCTCTCTAATGCTAGCGGGATTCCCCCTGAACAGCTGCCTGTCACGGAGCTGGTTCCTTACAACACTCTGGCCACGAGAGGCTGGGTCATGACCATTGCCAAGCTGAACTACCCAAAGACTCTGCTTCCAGCTCTAGAAGTCAACTTGAAAACACCCTCCTCACTAATCTACCAAAATCGCGAACCAGTTCTAGCTCAATTTGCAAGCTACATCGATTCCACAATTTCTCCCACTGGTGACCTCAATGATGGTTCCTCAACTGGTAATGGGGGATCTGGCTCCGGCAACAACGGCAACAATGGCAACGGCAACGGCAACAACAACAACAACAACAACAATGACGCCTTCGGCTCTGGTAACCAGGGCAATCAAACTTCCAAACAAAAGGCTACCACTGCCGGGATTGCTGTTGCGGCTGTAGGTCTTAGTGCCTTGTACGGTGCTGCCATGTTCATTGTCGCTCGACGTTACAAGCGCAAGCGACAGGGCCACCGTCGAGCCAGTTCCATCGCTAGCGGGCAAGGTTCGCCTGAGATGAGGTACAATGGCAATGGTAGCCCTGCTCTCATGGGTGGTGCTCTCTTGAGCCGTGATGGTTCAACTTATGGTGGCGCTGGAGGTCGCGATTCACACGCCAGTGGTGGTAACTCTGGACGCACCGCCAACATCTCCGCTCCTGTCGCCACTGAGAACTCTCTGGGCTGGAACTGATGGGATATATACGCACGCGATTTTGTTGATATTACCATCGTATCTATGCCATTTGGTGCCATTTTTCAACTTCGATACCCTCTCGGTAGAAATCATTTTTGGATTGTTATGTGGGCTACAGTCTGGTCATGTCTAATGTTGGATTATTTGATGTATACCAATTTTGAGGGGCGTGACGAAACCAATATTATCATGAATGTTTCCGCGACGGACGTTCTTGATACATACGCCTGTGACTCGTTTGCACATCACAGGGTCTTTGACGTTCTCCATCATTCATGCGACGGACAGGCCTGTGTTTGTCCCGACAACCCACGATTCTTCGCCGGCGTGCTTGGGACACCCTTTTGTGGAATCTAGAGCCCTGTTTGGCGGTTTTATTCTTCGAGCTCTTATTCTGGTGACCCAATTTTTATTATTATTATTACGATATTGCGACACCTAGTCTTGGATTTGTTTCTTTTTTTTTTCTTAATATTTCTATCTCGGGAGGAGTATAGCAGTATGAGGGAGAGTGATCTACAGGAAGCAACTGCTGTGTATCGCGTTGTCCGGCGCACACGGTCGTCGTTTCTGGTAGACGTGAAAAAACAGCTGTATGCGTGGGTCAGTTGAGGACTTGGTATACAGTTGGTGTCTTTGTGCCTGTCGGGGATTTCTTGTAAGAGTTTGGACCTGCATAGACAATAAAGACAGTCTTTTTTTCTCAACCTGGCATTATTACAGGCGCTAGCCTGACTTGAGGCAAATTATGATCCCGTAGGAACCCTGTTGGATTCCATACATGTAATATATGTGCCTTTTCTGCTATACCTTGCTTTGTTCTGCCATTTTATCAACCTCCATGGCTCCTCGTCAGGGGCTATGAGAAAGATGAGGGTCGATTCTCGACTCGGTCTCGCTCTCTGTACACACACGGTCACATCGCCGCGTACTGTCTGCTTGTAGCAGGTCGTACATGCTCACCCCATCACCAGCCACCGGTTACGTACAGTGTTTGTCTCTCATTCAACCACTACAGGTTCAGCGCCCTCCCGCCGCCACTCACACCATGGCCGCCGCGAGGAATGCTGGTCGAGAGAGAGTGTGTGGGAATAAACAGAGAGAGCTTGCAATATCTATTTTGATCCTGCCCGGCACATGACATATGATTTGAATTTCAAGGACGAATATGGTTTGAAGTGGCGCCGCCTACCACTACCGGCACTACTACCGAGAGTCTAGCTCAGACGAGCATCATGATGAGGAACACGAGGACAGACGAAGAAGCCGAGACGGAGTTTGAGATTGGTAGTCTTTGCCGGGGACCGAACCAGCTCAAGGGTACGGCGAGCTTTTCTTCTTCCTTCCTTTTCCCCTCTCTCTTCTGAATTTACGTGATTGGGAGGGTGCTAGGCTGGCTGACTGCCCGTCAGGGATTCCCAAGTTGCCCTCGTTCCACGAGCACCGGGAGCACATTGTCGTGCACAGGGCGGCCGTGTTTCGGAACTGGGCGCGCGTAGGATTTACAGAGGGCATCTCGGGCCACATCGGCGTCCGCGACCCGGGGCATCCCGGGCTGATTTGGATGAATTCCGCGGGGGAGAAGAACCGGTTGTATGAGGAGGCGCAGCCGGGTATTGAGCATGAGATTGAGATGGCGGGTGGTGTGATTTCTGCTGGGCTGGAGGACACGGCGGTTGACGGCGTGGTTTGAAAAGAGGCCGTGATGGGATGGACGGGTGTAATTGTGTGTGCCCCTTGAGACGAAGCCGCTGTTTTGTACTTGGTATTTTTATGATTTGCCATATTGTTGAGTCTGCCTGGCTTTGGCGATGGGTTCACGGGGTTTGAATCTTGACTCTGGCCATGGGCAAAGTCGTCATCCAATGATGCAGAAAGCAATGTCGGATTGATAATGCATGGTCTTTTTGGTCATTTTTTTAAAAAAGAAATACGCGAAGCGTGGTTATCAATATATACCATGTTGAAATATTGCGCAGAAAATCGGAAACTAGATACAACTTGCAGTTCATGTAGAACAATCCATCTCGGCAGAGGTCGGATTTCACCATGCTACTCTGGATGGTCGACCAAGCCCAGTTCTCTGGTGGCTCAAGGCTGGCAAACACCACTGGGAGAGTAAAATCGGCTTGTCCGCGTCGACCATGGCGTCGCGCGCAGACACCATGTCTGGGTTGCAGGGCTGCAGGGCCAGGTCCCCCCGTGACGATCTTCATGGGCGAGATACAGGCCGTCTTTGGCAAAGCCGTCGCCGTCTGTGATGCCGTGCTTGTCGATGAGGCTCCATATGACTTCGTAGAGGGCGGTGCACCAGACGGTTCCGATGGCTTCGACTGTTCTGCCGGTTGACGGTGCCGTAGGTCATGGGGCTGGTTGGCATGCTGGTCGAGTACGGACGGGTACTGTCGTTGCCGACCTAGGAGCCGATGGTGTAGTCGGTGTTTCTGTTATCTGACGTCTTGAGCCGGGATGGCCGCGCATGAATTCGGGCCATCCCTCGCCTATGCCGCCGGATTCAAGGCCGTTGAGACAGCCGGAGTTGCTGGGTCCGCCGGTCAGGCGAGTAGATACTCTTGCTTTTGTTAGATACAAAGGTTGAGAGGGAAGGCAGTCATGGGGATTGTTTACTTTACGGCCGTGGGTGTACTCGTGCAAAACAACGTTGGCGTCGAATTATCTGTCTCGCTGGGGCTGGACGACGTCCCATAGGCACATTCTCATGAACTCCGGACTCGCCGTCTGGAAGTGTTGCAAAGTCGGCGTTGTTCGTGCCGGAACCGTCTTGCGAGAATAGGACTACGGCATCGTTGCCTTGCCCGCCCTTGCCGTTATTATTGCTTTGGAAGTTGCCTGGTTTTTTCGTCGAAGCCTAGCACGTAGAGCAGGTCGTGGTACTTGTTGGCCGTGAAGAAAAGCTGTGTGATGGATGCGTTGTTGTAGCTGTCGGGCCGCTCTGTGACGGGTCGTAAGGATCACAAAAGCGTCGTTGGGCCTGTTCGGTCGGTGGTTGTTTCCCATAGTCATCGCCGCCTGTAGGGTTATCCTGGGCTATGGCATTGTTGCCGCGACTGGTGGTGTTGCTCTGGCCGTCACTCAACCATGTGAGGGCCGGTTCACCGTCCTTCTTGCAAAGGTAGACAAGCTTGGTCTTGGGGTGGCTTACAGCGTCGGTGGTGCAAGCAAGGACGAAGGCTCCTTGCCCTCCCTGGCTTCAACCTTGACGTCCATGGAGGTGATGGGGAGCCCGATGTTCCTGACCACCCCGTCGAGGGCCGCAGCTGGGTCTGAATAGCTGTGCTTGGTGAAAGGGCTGTCCTTTGGCTTGTTGGCCTTGAAGAAGCTGCTGCCTGTTTGTTAGTGAGGCCAAACTGGCGGAACCGAACGAGATTACCAATGATACATACGTTTACATTGAGATGGCCATTATCACTGTCAATCCTGTGCAAGGTCTGCTTGAAATAGACGTGGGCAACGCCGTCCGAACCGACGTAGTGATCGTCGACAACACGATACTCTGCGTGACATGCACTTCAGTCTTCACTTTGTGAGCAGAAACATGATTGCCAGTCTCGGCCATGCGCAACTGGTTCATGTTCAACCTTGCGGCCTACCAGGCCTGTCACGCCAGATGAAAGGATATGGGGATGCGATTGAGTGGTGGAAGCGAAGACAGCAAGGCCCGCTAGAAGCAGGGAGTTGACCATGGTGTTGGATAAAAGTTCGCTACCAGACTTGGGTACCGGATACGGCTACTGTTCGGGCATTCTTCACAAACCGGATCTGAACGGACATGCTTCGCAGAGAGTGGGAAATGACAAAGGCTATACAACTTGTCTGATCCAACCGCATTTCCAACATCTGCCGAAACTTGCTTTTCAGGGTCTTGTGCTAACGCAATCCACCGGAATACAAGCTAGTCTCGTTTACCCGCCTCATTGTCAAGGATTCCCAGGAACTTTCGTCTTGGACTTGAGAGAAAAGGTCGAGATGGCTTCGCCACAAACGTTGTAATGGGAAGGTATGAAAGGCCTGGGAGATGACGATGCTGCCTGCAGATGCTCGTCGTTGAAACATGCAGGGGACAAACAGTTGATTCGTCGCATCAATGAGGTAAATGCCGATTGTGCCGACAAGAAGAATGATGCAACGATCGGCTGGACGATATTGCATCTGCCGGGTCTGGAAAGTGCTATTTTGCGACGCAACCATCGTTGGTCAGACGGTTTGTGTATTCAAGGGACAACCAGCCCTGCGCTGTACAACGACAGCATTAAGGCTTCCTGATGCAGATTGTCACGATGGCATACGTGTCGCTGGTTGGAGTTGTCATCTTCAGTGCGGCTATATGCTGGCCTATACTGCTGATAAAGAAGCTTTTGAACTGACTGACACGCGGTTGGTGGGGTGCCTCGATGCGTTGTAGAACTCCATGTTGCTGAATTGGAAAGTTGCGTCTACCCTTGTACTCGCAGATATGGCTGGCCACTTTGAAAGTCGTCGTTCTGGGCATGGACTGCGACATGGTGGCGGGACTACCGTTCGAGGCCCTGGAATAAGCTGGCTGAGCTACAAGTGCAAGAGCGAGGCTTAAAGTACTTGTCTTGGATACTATTAGTGCTGCTAGGTGTTACAGGGCCGTTTCAAACCAAGCCTCGCTCTTTCAAGAAGTTCTCGCACCTGTTGTGGCTAATTGTCAGCATCGAGTAGGCCCTGGATCTTGGATCATGAGATATGTGGTACGGCCTTGCTTATTTGAAGTTGGGTCATGACTTGTTTGACAAGCTTTAAAATGCCCTGCGTTTCCATATATCATACAGTCTGTAAGTAAGCGTGACCACTACAAAGCTTAGCTCTGCCCATTGTACTTGCAGAATGCCAACCGAGACAAACTTGATGGACAAAAAAACTGCGGCACCAAGTACAATATTTCCTTGTCGCGCGATTCCTGCCACTCCGTATATCCCGATTCCCCTCTTATCCGCGTCCAGCGCCGCTGTTGGCATTGCTTGTTTTGTTGGCAGTTTTATCCTCCTCTTCTTTGTCGCTGGCAAAGGCGGCTATGATAGCCTTGCCCTCTTCCGCGTCATCGGACTCCCACGGCTTGAGGCCCATGGACTGCATAAAACTGCCCCAGCCGCCGTATGCTTTGCAAATCTCACGCTCCGTCTTGGTTAGCGGGGGCTCTTGAGCATCAACATTAGCTATGTGGTGTCCTTGTTGTCGTGTGGAGGGGGGAAGGAATTGGGAACATGAGGATGCTTCACTCACGGAGAGCATCTGTGGCCGGCATTTTTGCAGATTATTTTGGAATTGAGGTGCAGGACGGTTTTTTCCCTCAGCCTCCTGGAGCGCGACGGTTTCTCAAGCGGGCACCAAGATGGTTTGGGTTACAGTATGCTGTCCGTTTTTTTTGAGGGGATTGATTATTAATTCAACGTTGAATGAAACCGTCTACAAAGTTGGCGGGGCTGGATGGATTACGTGACCTTCAGGTGAGGGACGGTGCTCACCCGATACTAGCCCCTTCTCACCCGATACTACCCCCCCAGGAGTTTAGCGGTTAGGGTTAATAATCAATGTTAGGGTTAGGGTTAGGAGTCAGGGTTAGCCTATGGGATATGAACTAAAGTGGAGCTATTAGCGGATGAGTAGTGCGACCTACTATCATTTTATGTACCGCCACCCTTCAGGTGTGTGCACTTGGCAGCACGCCAAAGTTGGTCGGTGCATGTCTGCCCCCGCCCGCTTGTGCGCCTTCCAGTCACTCTGTCCCGCAGTCCTTGGGCCATTGGGGCCAATGTCTCCTGGGGAGATTTATTCTCTACTCCGAGGTCATCAACACGACAAACATTCTATTCTGGATGCAATAAATGACCACGTATCGCGTCTTTCCTCTGCAATTCGCCAAGACAAGTAAGTATATAGAAAACCATCCAAACGTGACATCTGAGTCTGTAAAATCCAACCTGGAAAAGGGGCAGTGTACGAGTAAAACTAGCAATGCTCGCTCACTCTTTTCCATTGCAATGACCCTCGGGTGTTGCAGTCTCGGCCGCAACCACAAACGGCGCGATCGTCGAGAGTTTCTCGCACGTCTCCAAAAGTTCCCTTTCCGGCGTCGACATGTCAATCACACCCGCGCCGGCCTGCACCCATCGCCGATCGCCACTCTGAAACACCGTCCGCAAGACCAAGCTCGCCTCAAATAAGCCCGTTTCCTCAATCATCAAGACGGCCCCCGAGTACAGCTCCCTGGGCCGGGTTTCCAGCCGCTCAATGGCGTCAAGAGAGTCCTGCTTGGGAATGCCCGAAGCCGTGATGGACGGGAAGAGCACATTGAACGCGTCCCAGCCGTCTTTGCCCTGTTCCAAACGTCCCGCGACCCGTGAGCCCAGGTGTTGCACATTCCCGCGCACACGTGTCGTCATAAAGTCTTCCACCACGGTCGAACCCCCGGTGCTGAAGCGGCCGACTTCCTCTACCGCTTCCTTGACGGAGAGGACATGCTCGACAATTTCCTTGGCGTCGCTCTCGAGGTCCCTCTTAAGCTCCTTGAGTTCAGCGGCGGAGCCCGCGTGCGCCCGGGTGCCGGCCAGCGGCTCGGTGACGACTTTGCCGTTTTGCAGTGCCATGACGAGCTCGGGGCTGAACCCAGTGGCTTGGAACCCGCCGTGGTTGACCGAGAAGCTGCGCTTGGGGGTGTTGCGCCGCCGGCCCTTGAGGAGGGTTCCAACCATGTCGACCTCCTCGCCGAGATCGATGGCGCGGGACAGAATGACCTTTTTGTACTTGCCGGCCTTGATCTCGGAGATTCCCTGCCCAACACGGTCAATGTACTCGTCTCTAGCAGAGTCGAGATCAACCTCGATCTGCCTCTGTGCCTGCGGCGTACCCGGTCCCCCCGCAATGAGCTTCACCACGTTTTCGATTCGCTCAGCATCGTCTCCAGAGATGGTGACACAGTCGGTCGAAACAGTGACTTCCACGCTGGGAACCATGAGACTAAGGAGCGGCCAATTTCCCGGCGTAAAGGCCAATCCGCGTGTGAATGCGGCGTAGTTGAAGCCCACCTGACCAAATACTCGGCTTGCATTCGACGAATATCTGGCAACGAAATCCCTTGCGATGGTAGCAATGCTCTCTATAACGGGGTTGGAAATGGATTCATTTGTAATTGTCGTCACTGAAGTCCCTGTGGCGTCGACGAAAAGCGAAGCTCGACTGCCAATGCCGAGATGCCACTTGTTTTCGCGCTCGTATGCAAAGTAATCCGAGCCTTTGGAGGCATTCAGCACCCGTGTGACGATTGCCAAGTCGTCTTCTGACCTTGTCCTTGAGAGGACAACTTTTCTGAACTGGCATGCGTCTCCCATGGCTGCTGATGAGAAACACCCTTTTCTTTCCGTAGTGACAAGTAAAAGGATGACGAAGGTCAAGACAATCAAGTACCGGCTCTCTGTTGAGTAGGAGAGTGGTGTTCCTCTATGAGGGGCTGGAATTATCCGTGGTCCTTACGTCTACCACTTCGGCATGTCCGTTGCGGGATTGGGCGAGTCGGCGGGAGAGTTTTCGTAAGAACGAACGAGCGTTTGAGCTAGCTGTCCCTGCGGACAACTGGACACGGTGCCATCCTGAGCTCCCACGAAAACGAGAACAGGCGGCGAGATGAGGCTACCAATGACGGCATGCCTAAGGGTTCACAGCGTGCGAGGTCACATATTCCACGGGATGTGTTGGGTATCTACCCCACAACGGGCGGGCATTAGATAATACGCGCAGCGGTGTGTGGAGCCGAGTGGCCATCTTATCAGGAGCGCACACAATTCTCTCCTTTTGCAGGTCAATTAATGCTTTGTACGGAGCATATACCACAGACATTTGTATAATCTGATGCTAAAGTGCCCTACTTACGTGTGATGGTAATGATCTCCACACAGTTGAACCTATTTTAGTTTGGAAGCAACTTTTGCGGGGGGAACGTCTAAAGGGAAGAATTACTTCCATGTATCTATTTACACTCGTAAACGCATGGCCATTTCGTGCTGCTCGCTTCCAGTGTGATGTCCCAGGTTCTCTTCTCCGCATAGAGCCATGAAAGGATTCCCGAGATGCTGCCATTACTCGGATTATCGATACCTTCATTGCAGTGTTCTGCAATCCTGGTAGTTGCATTGATCTGCAAAAATGGCCTGTTGGCTTCAATCCTCGATAGACACCTACTTGGAACGCAATCTAAAAAAAATCTCACTGACAGTCCCAGGTAATTTGGTATAGTCGGCAATAATAACAGCGCTTGCCCAAGTATCACGCAGGCTTCCTAGATGTTGAACGAATCTGCTAAAAGTGGAGGCCTCCTACTGAATAAGACTGCATTGCGATATATATATGACGGTGACGGTATTCCATATAGCACTGAATGATGGAGAAGCAGGGCTGTTACGAATCATACGACGGCTACCAAGGACGGTTGGATCGCGAGGTATCGTCAAAGAGTCCTTGCACTCAAGTATACTCCAAGTTGCAAGTCAGCAAAGTCAACACAACTCCATGGGCTTTGTGAAATGCCACAACGCCTAGATTGATGATGAATAGATAGACTAGTACGAAACTCCCCAAGAAGGTATTTTCGAAGTTGGATGGAATCTTAGAGAACAGTTTCGGGATGCGAAGGCTTCGAGCTAACGGGACCAGACGCGCAATTCCGTACATTCCCGTCTGCATGTGCTGTATTGTATTGCTATCATACAAGCACAGCAATTACGCAGCAAGAACAACTCATCTGCAACACGTCAGAAAAAAGGGGCCTTTATTTGCATGAGCCAACCCTCTGGGATGGTATTCGCTCACCTGGGCAGACGCATTACACACAATATCATATCCGAATGCCATGCTTGTTGGTCCAGCCCAGTCCCTAACGTTGCAATCTTGAATCGTGATATCCGTGATTACCCCAGCGTGTCTTCACATGATACGATATGTTGGGAAAACAGGGAAATTTCCCTCAGCCTCATGCACTGGTCAGAATTGTGGCATGTTTGCTATCGTGATCCAACTCCCTCCGTGTTGCTGTACATTGGTACTCACATAGTCTGCTGCAGAAAATTGGCTTCATGCCTACTTGCTGCAGAATTTTGTGTCATAAAACCACGCAATGAGCCCATAGTCGTAGGCATCAGCGTAATCTCGCTAGGCACCAGTATTTTCTGCCAGCCGGTTCGTTGTCGAAAGCTCCATTGGGAACGACGGCTCAAGATGTTTCTCAGGGGACATTGCCTGCCCCATAGTCAACAAGGGTAACCATGGATCAGGCTGGATGAGAAGGCGCTGACCGTCCCGAAGCTTTGGCCAAATGTGTGGCTCGAATAGTCTCTTGGACAGAGTTGCAAGCCGAGGGCGGGCAAGCCACGGGGATTTTTTAGACGATATGCATTTATCGACGATGGATGACGTGGCGTCTCGGGCACGCCAAAACTAATTTATGGCTTGGGAAAATATGGCGATTGAACGCTGTCCTGTTGCCGGTTTTGGATCGAGATACGGGCACAACGTATGCGCCTACCCATTGTTTTTCTTGGTGACACATCGATTGATGGAGAGAGCGGAACGGCGCATTCCTGTCAATCCCCTGGAGAGATGAAGTATAATGCCGTTGTCATAACAAATTGTTGTTAGACAGACAGCCTGCGGATCCATGCAGAGACGCGGCTGATTCCATTCATGGCCACCACAACCTTAGTTAGTATGGCCTGGGATATTTCTGGGCTTGATTTGTATGATGCTGACCGCTGGCAGGTGACCGGTAATACACCCCCGAATGCAGCAGGAGAAGATGAATGCAGTTGTCTGAACAGCTAGCGCGGGGAAGCAGACAACGAGGCAAGACAATTTTTGTCTTGCAATGCGGTGCTCCCCTCAGCTCAGGCTCGAGGACCGGAGAAGCTTGTCAATTCGATGGCAGTGAAAGTAAATGGCGGCTCCAATTGAGTTTGTTTCGTCATGGTGGTGTGGCACTTGGACCGTGGCAACGCGACCAGTTGATCCTAGAGATCTCTCAAAACAAGAGTTAGGTGTCTAACTGGACAAAGGCATGTCTGTCTGTCTCAACTGTCCTGAACCTTACCAAACCCCGGATCTGCAACAGTCGACATGAACCGGGAGGAGCAGATGGGGAGACTGACCTTGTATCGTGTAAAATGTAGCAAATCACAACGTGGACTGGCGTCCGTCTGAAACGTTTGGAGCAGATTTCGCCCTCAGCTCTCCTGCCACCGTCGCCAGTGCAATGCTGCTGATGTTTATGCAGTATTCGAGACGCAAGACACTATTGCGTGTCCATGTCTCGCTGGCCGCGAGTCCGTGGCTGAAGTCAACCGCTGTGTTCTGTCTTATCTATATCCGGTCAAAACAAACGACCATGGCCAGTCTGACCGTCACGTGGCGACCCGGAAGCGGCACTGGCTCATCGATGACCATTGACCTTCAATTGTCCACAAAAAACTTCACATGTCGATTTCTACGGCTGGCGTCTTTCTCAAACATGTTCACTCCTCTTACGCCAGCTGTGTCCCCTAGATGGTGCGAGAAGAATCAGAGAGTATCACGACAAAGATTTATTTTTGCTTCTGTAGGATGACGGCTCGCCTGGCTTCGGCAACTCTGTGGCACAACAGAATATCCAATCCGCCTTGAGGTCGAATTCTTCCCAAGCCTCTCAGCCGCCTTTTGGATGAACCCCACCCTGGTCGAAAACGGCCGTGCCATCGCCGAGAGGCGCTACTGCTGCCGCTTGTTCCACCGGATTCTCACGCTGGCAGGGTCGTCTCACTGGCTGAGTTAATCTGGTGGCTATTAACTCGCGCCTGGCGATCAGGCAACAGAATAAAAATTGTGGCGCAAGATCGCTGCATGGTCGTTGGACGACGTCGGAAGGGAGGAGCTAGGGACGGTTCTTAGCCGGTTCGAGGGATCTTGAGCTCCAAGAGGCTGGCGCCATGCCTCCATCTCCGTGAATCATCCGCTGCACATTCGGCATCGAAGAAGAAATTTACCCTTCGAACTTTGTCCAGTTGCACACATCTCTATTGTGGTGGTTGAGAAGGTGAAGAAGGTGAGTCAAGGGGATCCTGGAAAGAGCAAAAAGAAAGTGACCTAAGCAGATTGAAGCAGCGAGCCGTGTTGCAAACCGCTGCCCTCTTTTGCCAAGGCCCAAGAGCATCACTCACGCTATGGGCGCAACAAGCAACCGCAGGCCCGCCGCTATCATTCGTGACACAGAATACAAAACAACATGAGGCCGAATAGCCCCATCTGGCGGTGCATCGTTATACAAAAGCGTCCACTCATCAGTGAGACAATTCTGTTGCCTGGCTGCATCCGGGCTCCATTTTGGGCAGGAGAATCAAGCCCTTGTCCAGACGACAGTGGCGCCGCCGCTCGCAGTCAGAGCAATCATCGTGACAAGAACCAATTGCTTGGCATTTTCGGAGTCAAGAGCACGGACGCATTCTAGATTTTTCGCAGGGCGGTGTGATTCTGCGAGGCGCGCAAGCCGGCAACGGCGCCTTGATGCCCCTCCCTGTCAAGGCTTTCGTTCTGAAGATTATTGGGTTGCCAGCCTTGTCTGCCCGTGCTCCTGCAAATTGCAACCGATTGTGCAGAACCGCCTGAGACATGGTGACGGGGTGTGTTGTGTGCAAACAGAGTGCGGTGTGGCCGAACCTGGCCATGGGTGTGAAGTCGCCCCATGAACAATGTGACTTACTTTTTACGAGGACAGTGACTATCGACCCTACTACTTTTGTCCGGGATCACGATGGTTCTCTTAATTCAGAGAGAGAAACTCGTTGCATGTTCCACCACCTTAAGCTGGATCGCGTCGGATATCTTCAACGCCAGGTTCTCATCGGGGAGGACGACATGAACCGGAATAAGGGTTAATTTAACGGACAACCAGGGGCCTTGGCCAATGCATCTCCCTTGAAAGTGTGAACTGGCGGGAGTTGGCTGCAGACAGACGTCAGGTGGCGTCTGTATGCGCCACCACGGTCCTCCTATCGGTCATTTTCTCCTGCTTTGGGTCTGTTACCTCCAATTCACTTACTTACTATCCACAGTCACGTTTTGGAGGAATGATCCGGGGTGCGGGGATGTGGGGAGAAAGCCAAACGGCCCCGGACTTCAATACCCCCCGGGGTTTACAATCCTACATTGTATGTCAGGGTCTATCTAGCTAACAATCATCTGGGACACTCTTGGGCCTCAGCTCCCTCCAGTTGTGATGGTCGTGTCCAGCTCCTTGTGCCCACAAGCGATGAATGGGTGGGCCCAGGCCAAGGATCTGTCTTCACCTTTCACCGTTAGTTATTGTCCAACTTAATGTAAAATAATTTGGCCCCATTCAGTTTCCGGACCAAACGACAGGACAGAGGTTTGACAGCTCTTATTCCAAAGAACTCAAATAGCCATCGCCTCCCGCCTTGAGTTCCTTCGACGTCCAATTGCCTTGGTCCTACTTTAACCAATCTCCTCTTCATTGCCTCCGGGTTTGAGAAACGGAGAAAACGGCCCAGCATTGAAATTCGTCACTGTGTGGAGGCTGTAGTCGGACTGAGCTTTGCAAGATCCGGAAACTTTGGAGACAAAGCGTCACTCAAGGTCGGCAGGCAGAAGCACATTCAATCGCCATGTCGAACATATAGTCAGTTCAAGACCCGCTGGGAGCCAGAGCTCCTAATTCATTGTCTCGGTGTGAGACACTAACACGTCGTTAGCCAAGATTCGAAGGCTGCTCGCAATGAACACCTTGAGGAGAAGGGTACCACCCACACTGAGCAAGTGGACATGCAACAAAACCTTGAAGCTAGGTAAATGAACAGCACTCTGGCAACCACCGCACACAGAATTGCACGATGGGCTGACCAAATATCGCATTTAAGAATCCGCAATCCATTGCAGGGCATTCCTCGATCTCAGCTGATGCAGGATGTGGAGGATTTTGCGCAAAGAAAAGGCCTACAAGAGCACGTTGCGCTTTTGAAAAAAGGTGCATTGGTTGCCCAGGATGCTGCCAACGTTCACAATATCGATGGTCCTGAGAAGCTCTCTTCCGAAGAGCTCGAGATCCTCGGTGATGAAGTCACTCACAAGTGGCGTATGCCCATGAGACTCTTCCTAACCATCTTCACTTGCTCCATTGGTGCTGCTGTCCAGGGATGGGATCAGACAGGTAGTAATGGCGCAACCATTTTCTTTCCCAAGTACTACGGCATTGGGGGGACCAGTGATCGAGACACAATCATCGTGGGCTTGATTAATGCCGGCCCATATATTGGCTCTGCGTAAGTAGTCATGCCAACTGAAGCTCTATTTGACACATGCGACTCGTTGGCTAACGAATTATCTAGCCTCATTGGCTGCTGGTTGTCTGACCCATTGAACAACTGGTTTGGACGAAGAGGCACTATTTTCTTCTCCGCCAACTTCTGTATCTGGCCCGTCATTGGATCTGCTCTGTGCCATACATGGGAGCAACAGCTAGCGTGCCGTATTCTCATGGGAATTGGAATGGGCGCAAAAGCATCCACGGTTCCCATCTACGCCGCCGAAAATTCTCCCGCTTCCATTAGAGGTGCTTTGGTCATGTCTTGGCAAATGTGGACCGCTTTTGGCATCATGTTGGGAACCGCTGTCAACCTGGCCGTCTACAAGGTCGCAGGTCCTTTGAACTGGCGTCTCATGCTCGGTGCTCCCTTTCTTCCCGCCGTGCCTCTTATGGCCCTGATTTATCTTTGCCCAGAATCTCCCAGGTGGTACATGAAGAAGGGTCGATTTCAGGAAGCCTGGGAGTCCATGTCCAAGCTCCGCCGAAACCCTATTCAGGTCGCTCGTGATATCTACTATATCAGCGCCCAGCTCGAGATTGAGAAGGAGGTCATCGGCAACACCACCTATGTCACTCGTTTCACCCAGCTTTTTACCGTCCCTCGTGTCCGCAGGGCCAACTTGGCCGCATTTACCGTCATGATTGCTCAACAAATGTGTGGAATCAACATCGTCGCCTTTTATTCCACCTCTATTTTTGAGCAGGCCTTCCACAACGACCCTAACCCGCAGTTCAAGGCCATGATTGGATCTTTTGGCTTCGGTTTGGTCAACTGGCTATTTGCTTTCCCTGCCTTTTTTACCATTGATACATTCGGTCGCCGCAGTTTGCTTCTCTTTACATTCCCCCAAATGTTCTGGACTCTCCTAGCTGCTGGTCTTTGCACCCTTATTGACGCTGAAGGATCCATGGCGGAAGCTCGCACTGGACTGGTGTGCTTGTTCGTCTTCCTATTCGGCGCTTTCTACTCCCCCGGTGAAGGTCCTGTTCCATTCACATACAGTGCTGAAGTTTACCCTCTGTCTCATCGTGAGACCGGTATGGGTTTTGCCGTTGCCACCTGCCTTTTCTGGGTATGTGGAAGTCCCCTTGGCATGAATAGAGTTGCACCGCTAACTTTGTGTAGGCCTCTGTATTAGGAATCACGTTTCCCTTTATTCTCAACCGCCTTCAGACGATTGGTGCATTCTCGTTGTACGCAGGTTTCAACGTGCTTGCATTTATCATGATTTTCTTCTGGGTGCCTGAGACCATGCAACGTACGCTCGAGGAGCTGGACTGGGTGTTTGCCGTTCCCACTGGCAAATTCGCCAAGTACCAGCTTACCGTCGCCTTGCCCTGGTGGTTCAAGAGATATATCCTCTTCCGGCGCAATGCCACCAAGGAGCCCCTGTATCATTTTGAGAAGGTTGCCACGACTGCTGGAAAGGATTCGTTTGCTAATCAGGCCATGGTACCTAGCTCTGACGATGAGCGCCACCATTGACGTCGGTTGTAGGTGTGTGTGTGTGTGCGATGCCGAGTTGTCAGGCCAGATTTTATGCCCGATTGTCGAGTTCTTGAGCTCTGATACCCCCACTCCCGGTCTGACAAAGTTGACATGGCATGGTTTCGATTTGTTAAGACGTCATGACATTTTACCTGCGAGGTTCCTAATGTTGAATATTGAATGCGAGGAGGCTTTGTCTGAAACGGCTTGTTTGTTTATATATGCTCAAGACTCGGTTCCATAGTATCATTTATCCTAGGACTTATGAATACGAAAAGGCCAGACATTTTCCTGGAATTGTTGCCATCGAATCTCATCTTTTTTTCGATAAACCTTTGCGCCGAACGCGCCCAGGTTGACACGTCCGTGCAACATTCTAATGTATTACAGTTGTCGGATCTCCTGTGCTGGCAGATTGGCAATAGTAGATCCAAGCGGCATCAGGCTGGTAGAATGCTGTTACATACTGTGCCATATTATGATGGTAGTTGTAGTGATAGATATACATGTTTTATCCACGGCTCTATGTCCTTTTCTTAGAGTGGTTCGGCAATTTACGATGAGCCAACGGTACGAAGTCGAGCACAATATGTCCCGTGCGAGTGATGACGGGTCGGAAAAATACGAAGCCCCGGACAGCCCGTTGGCCTTGAATTCAGGTGTCATTCGCAACTTCTCCGCCTCAAAATTGAGCAAACCTTTTGGTGCCCGTGTTCCTGGCAGCCGATGCCGCTCCCCGTGAAAGAAGCACGTGAATAATCCATCGACTCACCCTTTAGGCCCATGCCCACATCATTGACAAAGTTGATCATCTCTCTGTTACTATGCCCACTACCGAGCAGGAGCTCTTCTTTTATAATGGGGACGGCGTAGGGTGCGAGAACCTCGCAAATTACAGGCCATGCGGGCTCCATCCTGTCATTCTCGGCGACGTCCTCCCGAAGCCCGGTACTTGTGTGAACGATGAGGCAAAAAAGCCAAGATACCGAATAGCACAGAAGCTTGGGTATGGAGGATTCTCAACGGTCTGGCTAGCACGTGATCTCGATGAGGAGTAAGTTTAGCTTCGGCATTGATACCATAGCATTTTTGCTAAGAGAAAATGATGTTGCAGAAGATATGTTGCTGTGAAAGTCTGTCGCGGATCTGACCATGCCGTTCAGAGCAATGAAGTGACAATTCTCCGCCAAATCCACCGCAACGGGCTGGGAAAGCCCGGTTATACTAACATTATTGAGATCCATGATGTCTTTACAATCCGTGGCCCGAATGGGTTTCACGAGTGTCTAGTAACGGAAGTTGTACTTCCCCTACATAGCGTGTCTGTCCTACAGAACTACTCGCCTCCGCAAGTGACCAAACAATTACTGAGGGCGTTTGATTTTCTGCATGGGGAGGGGGTGGTACATGGCGGTAGGGCTAAAAATCCAACGACGAAATTGTAATAGCAAATTGCTTTTTACGGCTAACAACGGGCGTGGTTTTTAGATCCTCATTATGCCAACTTTGGTATCGCAATACCACGATTACAGCAGTTTGATGAAGGGGCTATTGCAGACTACTTTGCAGATCCTCCCCTGATCCCAGTGGTGCCGCGTGATGCATCGTTTCCAAGAGATTCAGTACCGAGCTATATTGCCGAAACGGTCCCCTTGGGATCTTTTGTACTGGATAAAAAGTGCCTTCCCTCAAGCGAGGAGGTCTGTTTAAAGGTTTTCGATTTTGGAAGAGGCAAGCCGTTGACCCATTCCCATTTACTGCTCAATTACTAACAAGTCGAGTGTATATTAGCATGCTGGACGGATAAAATTGACAAACTACCAGGCGCTGCTCCTCCCACAGTTCGGCCGCCCGAGGTCTACATGCATGACTTATCCGGCGGAAGGATCGGATCCGTCTGGAGCGTAGAAGCGGACATATGGGCAATTGGGTGTACAGTAAGTCACTTGATTGAAGCCTGCATGGTGCATATATGTAAACAGATTGACAGGCATACGAGATGAAAGTCGAAGGCGAACTTGTGTCGGTATATGGCGACCTTCGGTATCAGCTTTACCAACGATTGCGGATAGGTGGGGCGCCATTGGAGGACTGGTCCGAGTATTGGAACTTGGAGAAGTTCTGCGAGAGTACAAAGGATTGGAGAGTGCCAATGTTACCGGTACTTGATACGGATGAGATCTGGGAGGGTCGCAGACCCAAAAGTAATGCTGATGGTGTGGTCTTTGTCGACTTCATACGGAAGATGGTCAGGACGGAGCCTTCGAGAAGAAGTCAGATAGCTCGACTCCTTGACCATCCTTATTTGTCTTGAAGTAACGTAACGCAGGGGCCAGACTAAGACATTCAGGATCACCGTACTTGGCTGTGAGAGTGGTTATTCAGGGACTGCGACGACACGACTGAGAAGGCTTTGGCTACAAATGGTGTCGCCAAGTGCTGGCGCCTAAACAACATTGAACCTTTTTCTAGGCCGTTACCAGCAGCCGCTCGCATGCAATGCGGCCTTGTTGGATTGAAGTAAACCACAGTTACCAATAACAAAAAGGTACCGCACCCATATGTATCAGTAGCCATGCTATTACAGCCACTGATTTGCCGGTAAGAGCCCAGGCATGCCTACCAGTAGGCGGCAGACGGTCAAGTTGCTGTTGGCCGGGCCATTAAATGCTGGCAACCATGAGCAGGGACCCGGCGGTTGCAACGGACAATTTTTGTTCCTCATTGTTCATCGCTGCCATGTTTTCGACATGTAGACGGCCTAGGTGTGTAACAAGACGTGGCCGGCGCTTAAGCATATTTGGGCTTACCAACCCACAAATTTGACAACATCATCTTGCGGTGCAATACTTGATACATGCAGTAACAGATGAAACTCGAGGCAAGCGCTTACGTCTGTGGATGTGGAGGGGCGCTTCTTCTCCCACTTGATCCACACAACGACCCACTTAGTTGTCGACGGGTAACGAAATCATCTTATTCTGAGCCAACATGGTTGTCGTACATGCATTTGCGTAGGGCTCTATCGAATCCCAGAGAGCTATATAAGACATGAGATTCAGACACCACCATGGCCAGATAAACAGACACACACAGTTTTCAGTTGGAGCGAAGAATATATCTCAATCCTCCGTCAACCTTAGTAACCTTTTTCCTTGTTTTATCTTTGTTTTTTATTGTGGGCTGTATCCGACCAGCATCTCAACTGCAACATCATGTCTTGTCAAGGTCACGTCGACACAACCGACTACGATGGCGCACCACTCTTGCTGCTGTTTCTTCTTGACAAACAACGAGATGTAGACGAGCTATGCGCAGATCTAGACAACCACGTAAAAGTTCTTCGGGCCTTCGCCACGGCGTGGAACAGAGGGGTGAAGTCACTGATTCGGCCCAGTAACACTTACACCTGGTTCGCTGATAAATGGACAGGATGCCTCCGTACCGTTCGGTAAGTTACCTCAACGAAACCCTACTTCGAAGACGGTGGACACTGGAAAAAGGGCAGCCAATCTTAGCCTTAGTATTGGAGGTGGCCACTGCAGAAGCATCAATGCAACCGCTTTTCCCGGGGTTTAAAGCCTAGGGTCATGGTTATGTTGCCTCTCTTCTCGCCGAATACAGTATTCTTTGTTGGTCAGCCTAACGGGACAGCTGTCCTGCTTGTGCTATAAGCCCCGGCATAAGGGGACCACTCACACGCCATTAGGGATGTATATTGTCACCACGCGTTGCATCGCCAAACAATGCATGTGCGACTGCATCCTGGGACCTGCTCCCTCCGGCTTAAACACGGCCAATAGCATATTCTGACCTTGCACTGTGACCTCCCGCCTCCCCTTTAAACATTTCCCTCCTTCATTCTCTTAAGCTATAACGATAGGCCGCTTATAGCGAGGCCACAGAATTAAAAGCGACCGCGCGTAAACGAGTCTTCGTAGAGTAAACCTCCCTTAAAAAAGGCTAAGCTTTCTAAAGAGAGTAACTTCTCGCTAGAATTTTAAGATAACCTATTAAAAGTCTAGCTTACGTCGCGTGCCTTAAGGGAGCTTAACCGTTAAAACGAGACCTAACCTTTGCTAAGATTTCTAATACCTGAGTTATATGATATATCTAATATAATTTACTCGATTCGCGAGATACGGTAGCTCTAACATCCGTTATCTTTGAGGAGTATAGCTCTAATTTACCTTTAATAGTTACTTACTAATTACTCTAGCTAGTATACCTAGAGCTCTTACGAATATAGTAAATACAAGTGTATTGTGTATTGTATTTTATATTGTATTATATTTTCGTGTATTATATTTAAATACATTATATTGGGAACGGGAACAGAGCCTAGAAAACGACGCGCGTCAGCTATATCCGCCCGAAAAACGCCTGGAAAACGAGCTAATATAGGCACGGCTTTAACGAGCTTATAGAGAGAGCTAAAAGCTACTGCGAGGCTAGCCTAATATTAAAGGCTATAAAAAGAGGTTATACGTACGAAAATTAAGGGTTTAAAGAAGAAAGAAAGAAAGAAAAATTAATAGCTTAATTTAAAGCTCTTATAAAAGCTATAATAGGCCTTAAATAGCTAGTAATAGCTAGAGTATTAATAAGAAAACTATATTTTTATTTTTTTAAAAAGCTTAAATAATTAATAATAAATCTAATAAAATACTTA